TAAGGATTTGATGGACTGTAATATCCAAGTATCTGAGGTTTTGCAATGTATAGCAGAACTGAAAACGGGCAAACGCCCAGGTCCTGATGGATACACGGCACTATATTATAAGAAATTAGCTGATGTGCTCGCTCCCCACCTTGCCGCTATGTTTAATGCGGTGAAAGGAGGTTCGAATTTTTCCCCGGACTCCTTAACTGCTAATGTGGTTATGATCCCTAAACCGGATCGAGATCACTCTTCCTGGGCTAACTATAGGCCTATCTCTCTTATCAATATCGATATGAAGATTCTTACTAAGATTTAGGCTACTCGATTGAATTCCTTCCTTTCTCGTCTGATTAAAATGGACCAGGTGGGATTTGTTCCCCACAGGCAGGCCGGAGATGCTATCAGACGTATTTTACAATTGCAACATTTGGCCCATACCCGTAAAATCGACATGATGCTCTTATCCTTAGACATCAATAAGGCCTTTGACACTTTATCCTGGCCGTATCTCCTGTCGGTCCTCCACCGCTTTGGGCCCTTCCTTCTTACGATGGATTTCTTCGCTATATACATCCCCTCAAGCGAAGCTTAGATACTACGGATTTGAATCTTCTACGTTCTCAGTTGCCAGAGGTGCTAGACAGGGATGCCCGCTTTCCCCTCTACTTTTTATCTTAGCCCTGGAACCGTTGGCAGAAGCCATTCGTATACATCCTGATATTAAGGGAATTGATGTGGCAGGCTCCCAACATAAAATGTCGTGGTTTGCGGATGACATATTATTGTCAATCTCGAACCCGGGGGTTACTTTGCCTAATTTGCTCGCAGTTCTCGATTCCTTTGCAACCCTCTCAGGTTTACATGTTAATCCAGCTAAATCAAGAGCTATGTTAGTTACCCTACCACCATCACTTTTGACTACTTTGAAGCAAACGTTCCCTTTCCAATGGCTTTCGGCCTTATATCTAGGAATTAAGCTTACCCTGACATATGATGGACTGTATCAGGCTAACTTTCCCACTGTCTTTCATGAGTTGACAGAGTTATTGTCTTCTTGGTCTCATTTCCCGCTGTCATGGTTCAGGAGAATTAATGCAATCCGTATGACCTATCTCCCTAAACTACTTTACCTATTTCGTGTTCTGCCAATTTCAGTACCTTCGCATATATTGCGTATACATCAGCGAAAACTTTTGTCCTTTATTTGGAGCTCTTCTCGACCCAGAATTAGCAAACATATCTTATTCGCGCAGCGGAGTGCGGGCGGGTTATCTGTTCCAAATCTCCAGTATTACTATTTGGCGGCTAACATTGCCCCTTTAGCTCATATTCATGCATCTCACCATTTCCCCCTGTGGGCTGTGGTGGACTCTCACCCGATACCGCTCTCCTCCTTGCCATGGATCCCTATTTCCCAACGACCATCTACCCTTAGCCCAACGCTGACGCTTTCGCTTCGTCTTTGGGATTCTATCAAATACTCCGCTGGCCTTATCTCTCCTCACCTGCCTCTGATACGTCTATTGCATAACCCATTATTCCTTCCAGGTAAGGATAACCCTAGACAGTTTGCCTGGGGGCAGGCGCATGGTTTTTATGATGTTCATTCACTAATATCCCCCACCAGAACAATTACCTTTGACACTCTGCGTTCTTCTTATAACATTTCTCTCCGAGAACATTTTGGTTATCTTCAACTTAGTCACTTTATTCATACTCTAATACGTGCGCATCCAGGACCTTATCGTCTATCCCCTTTTGAAAGCCAGTGCAGACATAGACCTCATGCTCCGGGTCTGATGATCTTGATTTATTCTTCCATTATATCTTATAGAACCCCTCCGGTTCGTTCTTATCAGCGTTGGCAGTCTGAATTAGGGGGGACCTTGGATCAACAGGACTGGCAGCACATGACCCAAACTTTATCTAAGTGTTCCAGGAATGTCATTATCCTTGAGAATGCATACAAAATTCTATACCGATGGTATTATACGCCTGCCGTTTAGCTAGCTTTATCCCTACCTATTCCCCGGTCTGTTTTCGGGGATGCCAACAATTGGGTACCATGGCCCACATCTGGTGGACTTGCCCTAAAGTAAGCAGGTTATGGATTAGGGTGTATGCCCTCCTCCGCACTATTCTTCATACAGACATTAAACGTAACCCGTATGAAGCGCTCCTATTTAAACCACTAGAGGGCCTTCTCCGCTCTGAACGGCAGCTGGCATCACATTTATTTATAACTAAATTGACAATTGCGAGGGCTTGGAAGACTCCTGTCATTAGCTTTGAGGCTGTCAAAAATCGGATGAACTTCATAATGGTTAATAAGAAACTGACGGCCATATTGTTGGATACCCATACAAAATTTCTGCAGATATGGCGTCCCTGGCTGGATATAGCTCAACCCTCGAGATTCGACCAGTCCTTTCTGTCGATATGAGGATGGATTTTGCTGTGACCCCCTTGGAGCCCCTCCCTCCCCTTTTTTTTTTTTTGTGTGTGTGTTGTCCGTGTCGCTCTACTATTTGTCTTTTTCTACTCTCCTGTCTAATCTGTTCTTAAACATATTTTACGGATTGTGCCTGCTGTTTTCTGCGCTACATCCGCAATACTATTTATGCAATCTGGATTTCTTTATAAACTCTAGGTCATGAACATGTACTGTTTTTTGGTGAGGCCTCTTCTCGGGCCTCTCCTGTTTTCTATAATGTTGATGTAGCAAAATTTCCCTTTAGAGTTCACATTATCATTGACCCACAAAGGTTTTTTACCCATTCCCTTCCAACCTCTTCCCCCATCCCCTTCCCTCAGAAAACCTATGTAAACTTTTCAGATTATGCTTTTATCGATGCATGCCTTGAACCAGCTTCCCCTCATTTAATACAATTTGTAAATGTTGGTCATTGAATTTTTGCTTCTACTGTGTTTCTCTTTGCTTATCACTCAATAAAGCTCTTTTTTTTTTTTTAAAAGAGAAAAAATGGAGTAGTCTACACCTGACCATGAAACCGCTTTTGATTCAATTGTCCAATTACTTTTGGTCCCTTGAAAAAAAGGAGGGATGGCTATTGTTAAGGGCTGTAATTCCTTAACCCTTCCTACAATTATGTACATACCCTCAAATTAAACGAGTGTGCACTTTCAGCCCATATCCACTATATAACTATAGCTTGAATACATTTTGGTAAATACCTGAACAAAAACAAATTGAGCCCATGTCCAAATATATATGGACTCATGTGCGTGCGTGCGGGTGTGCGTACGCACACACACGTGAAACTCAAAAAATTAGAATATGGTGCAAAAGTTCATTTATTTCAGTAATGCAACTTAAAAGATGAAACTAATATATGAGATAGACTCATAACATGCAAAGCAAGATAGTTCAAGCCGTGATTTGTCATAATTGGGATTATGGCTTACAGCTCATGAAAACCCCAAATCCACTCTCTCAGAAAATTAGATTACATGCAATCAATAAAACAAGGATTGTACATAGAACAATATCGGACCTCTGAAAAGTATAAGCATGCATATGTACTCAGTACTTGGTTTGGGCCCCTTTTGCAGCAATTACTGTCTCAATGCGGCGTGGCATGGAAGCTATCAGCCTGTGGCACTGCTGAGGTGTTATGGAAGACCAAGATGCTTCAATAGCGGCCTTCAGCTCTTCTGCATTGTTCGGTCTCATGGCTCTCATCTTTCTCTTGACAATGCCCCAAAGATGCTCAATAAGGTTCAGGTAAGGTGTTTTGCTGGCCAATCAAGCACAGTAATCCCACGGTCATTGAACCAGGTTTTGGTGCTTTTGGCAGGTGCCAAGTCCTGCTGGAAAATGAAGTCGGCATCCCCATAAAGCTCGTCTGCGGAAGGAAGCATGAAGTGCTCCAAAATCTCCTGGTAGACGGCTGTGTTGACCCTGGAATTAATGAAGCACAGTGGACCAACACCAGCAGATGACATGGCTCCTCAAATCAACAGACTATGGAAACTTCACACTGGACTTCAAGCATCTTGCAGTGTGTGCCTCTCCATTCTTCCTCCATACTCTGGGTCCTTTGTTTCGAAATGAGAAGCAAAAGTTGCTCTCATCAGAAAAGAGGACTTTGGACCACTGGGCAACAGACCAGGTCTGTTTTTCTTTAGCCCAGGTAAGACGCTTCTGACGTTTGTTGTTCAGGAGCGGCTTGACAAGAGGAATACGACATTTGAAGCCCATGTCCTGGATCCGTCTGTGTGTGGTGGCTCTTGATGCACTGACTCCAGCCTCAGTCCACTCCTTGTGAAAGTCCCCAACATTTTTGAATTGCCTTTTCCTGACAATCCACTCCAGGCTGCGGTCATCCCTGCTGCTCGTGCACCTTTTTCTTCCACATAACTTTCTATCAATGTGCTTTGATACAGCACTTTGGGAACATCCAGCTTCTTTTGCAATTACCTTTTGAGACTTTCCCTCCTTATGGAGGGTGTCGATGATGGTTTTCTGTACAACTGTAAGGTCAGCAGTCTTTCCCATGATTGTGATTCCTACTGAACCAGACAGAGACCATTTAAAGGCTCAGGAACACTTTGCAGGTGTTATGGCTTAATTAGCGGATTAGAATGGGACACTTTGAGCCGAGAATATTGCACCTTTTCACAATATTCTAATTTTCTGAGATTGTGGATTCGGGGTTTTCATGAACCGTAAGCCATAACCATCACAATGATGACAAATCACGGCTTGAACGATCTTGCTTTGCATGTAATGAGTCTATCTCATATATTAGTTTCACCTTTTAAGTTGCATTCCTGAAATAAATGAACTTTTGCACGATATTCTAATTTTTTGAGTTTCACCTGTACATATGCTATTTCTATTAGCTATCACCCTCTAACCCAGTGGTTCTCAACCTTTCTAATGCCGCGACCCCTTAATACAGTTCCTCATGTTGTGGTGACCGCCAACCATAAAATTATTTTCGTTGCTACTTCATAACTGTAATTTTGCAGTGGAAGGAATAGTGCTCCATCGTTGGTGTCAGTGGGGGGGAGGAATAGTGCCCCATCGTTGGTGTCAGTGGGGGGGGGGGGGGGGGGAGAGGAATAGTGCCCCATCGTTGGTGTCAGTGGGGGGGGGGGGGGGGGGAGGAATAGTGCCCCATCAATGGTGTCAGTGGGGGGGGGGGGGGGGGGGGGGAGGAATAGTGCCCCATCGTTGGTGTCAGTGGGGGGGGGGAGGAATAGTGCCCCATCGTTGGTGTCAGTGGGGGGGGGGGGGGGGGGGGAGGAATAGTGCCCCGTCGTTGGTGTCAGTGGGGGGGGGGGGGGGGGGGGAGGAATAGTGCCCCATCGTTGGTGTCAGTGGGGGGGGGGGGGAATAGTGCCCCATCGTTGGTGTCAGTGGTGGGGGGGGGGGGGAATAGTGCCCACATCGTTGGTGTCAGTGGGGGGGGGGGGGGGGGAGGAATAGTGCCCCATCGTTGGTGTCAGTGGGGGGGAGGAAATAGGGAAGGAAGAGGAATAGTGCCCCATCGTTGGTGTCAGTGGGGGGGGGGGAATAGTGCCCCATCGTTGGTGTCAGTGGGGGGGGGGGGAATAGTGCCCCATCGTTGGTGTCAGGGGGGGGAGGAATAGTGCCCCATCGTTGGTGTCAGTGGGGGGGAGGAATATGCCCCCATCGTTGGTGTCAGTGGGGGGGAGGAATAGTGCCCCATCGTTGGTGTCAGTGGGGGGGGAGGAATAGTGCCCCATCGTTGGTGTCAGTGGGGGGGAGGAATAGTGCCCCATCGTTGGTGTCAGTGGGGGGGAGGAATAGTGCCCCATCGTTGGTGTCAGTGGGGGGGAGGAATAGTGCCCCATCGTTGGGTGTCAGTGGGGGGGAGGAATAGTGCCCCATCGTTGGTGTCAGTGGGGGGGAGGAATAGTGCCCCATCGTTGGTGTCAGTGGGGGGGAGGAAAATAGTGCCCCATCGTTGGTGTCAGTGGGGGGGAGGAATAGTGCCCCATCGTTGGTGTCAGTGGGGGGGAGGAATAGTGCCCATCGTTGGTGTCAGTGGGGGGAGTGAGGAAGGAGGGAGGAGAAAGGGAATAGTGCCCCATCGTTGGTGTCAGTGGGGGGAGGAATAGTGCCCCATCGTTGGTGTCAGTGGGGGGGAGGAATAGTGCCCCATCGTTGGGTGTCAGTGGGGGGGAGGAATAGTGCCCCATCGTTGGTGTCAGTGGGGGGGAGGAATAGTGCCCCATCGTTGGTGTCAGTGGGGGGGAGGAATAGTGCCCCATCGTTGGTGTCAGTGGGGGGGAGGAATAGTGCCCCATCGTTGGTGTCAGTGGGGGGGAGGAATAGTGCCCCATCGTTGGTGTCAGTGGAGGATAGGGGGAGGAATAGTGCCCCATCGTTGGTGTCAGTGGGGGGGAGGAATAGTGCCCCATCGTTGGTGTCAGTGGGGGGAGGAATAGTGCCCCATCGTTGGTGTCAGTGGGGGGAGGAATAGTGCCCCATCGTTGGTGTCAGTGGGGGGAGGAATAGTGCCCCATCGTTGGTGTCAGTGGGGGGAGGAATAGTGCCCCATCGTTGGTGTCAGTGGGGGGAGGAATAGTGCCCCATCGTTGGTGTCAGTGTGGGGGGAGGAATAGTGCCCCATCGTTGGTGTCAGTGGGGGGAGGAATAGTGCCCCATCGTTGGTGTCAGTGGGGGGAGGTATGTCGTTGGTGGGATTGTGTGGGAGAAATAGTGCCCCATCGTTGGTATTAGTGACACAAATGATGGGGCACTATTGCTCCCACTGACACCAATGATACTTACCTTGCTGACCCCTGCTCCAGCCTGGGCTCGCTCTCTCCCTCTCCCATCTACAGCCAGCATACCTGGCTGCAGCAGCAAAATTTGCACTTACCTGTCAGCTGTCTTCCTTCTCTGGCCGCTCTCCTCTTTACTTGCTCTGGCAGCTCCCTCGATCTTCTTTGATCTACGCACGCTGCTGCTGCTCGGCTCCTCCTCTCCAAGCTCCACCTCCTCGCCGATTGGCCACCTGTGTGCCTCTCCTGAGCTACAGTTCCGGTAGCCAATCAGCGGCGAGGAGGCGGAGCTGTTGAGTGATCCCGGAGGTGTGGCCAGGTGACAGGGGCACCATATCATCCCGCCCACACATCGCCTGAGACAGAGGAGCGGTGTCTCGGTTCCTTAGACCATTGGAAATATGTGTTTTCCGATGGTCTTAGGCGACCCCTGTGAAATGGTCGTTCGACCCCCCAAGGGGTAACGACCCACAGGTTGAGAACCACTGCTCTAACCTGATCATATTTGTCATCACATTCCATAAAAACTTGTTTAAGCTTGTCAATACACTGCAAAAAAAAGTATATATATTGGTTTAAGACAAAAAGCAGGGACAATGTGCCAGAGTAAAGAGGACTATGGTTCCAGGAACTTAATTGAATTACGAGCTCTCCTGGATTGGAATGAAGCTGTATTTATTTATTTTATCATTGCAATACATCAGCAACCACTTACAGACCGCCCGCCTACAATGTACAGAATGTCCCACTAAATACAACGAATAGCATGAAAAGTTCAAATGTATAGTCCCAACAGTAACATCTATGCCTCACGATGTGTCATAATTCTCCACCGTGACTTTAAATCATTGCAGAAAGTGAGCATGCACCATCGCTGTGCACAGATGGGTGTGCCCTCACCTTTAAAGTGATATCCTTTGAGTGTATTTTATTTACCTTGTGGTTTTACACTATGGAGTTTCCTTCTACTCTTGTCCCTAGAGCACCTTACTAAAGAAGACCTTTTTATGAGAAAGTGGTTGGCCAAAATGTCTGATAGGAGGGCCTGGAATGGGTGTAGGGACATAACTTAAGTGCTGTTTGACCTCTGTAAAATACTATGCAACTTATAAGGTGAGGGTACACCCATTTGCGCACAGTGGTGGTACAGGTTAACTCTCTGTACGTATTTAATGTCACGGTGAAGATTTTCTCTCATGAAGACAAATGTTTGTGTTTTTAGGGCTCAGGAAGGGGGCCAGGACAAATGAACTGCCTCAAAAAAAAAAAAAAAAAAGGTTACAATCTGTTCAAAAATGCAAACACAGAGCCAGGCGAGTCCTAGATTGAAGAATCAGAGAGTCTGGCAGTGGAGAGATTGAAATTTTTCCATGGGAAGATGTGCAGGGAACCTACAGCATAGCTAAAGGTTTGCTAATGCACTGGGAAAAACAGGAGACCTGTAGGTGTACACCCTTTGTATCTATAGAAACAAGAACGTCTCCTCAATGAAGGAAGACTATCTCAGACCTAGTGTATACCACGTTTTTGGGAACAACATTCAGAGCATTGAGATCAATGATGGGGTAGATGGCCAGTTTATTTGGAAACTGTTTATAGATTGGATAAGAACCTCTGGAACCGGTCTGCTGCATGAAATGGGGCAATAAAGCCCCAAGACAAAAGAAACTGAAGATCTACTAATCTGTAACATGACAAGCAGGTTAGACGTAATTATCCTGGAAGGGGGCTGGGGGGGACATTCTATCCTGTAGTCCCTGAAAACCACCTCAAAAAGTAGGTTGTTCCATTATCAGCAAACAGACATCTGCCCACTTAGGAAATAGGGGCTCTCTCTTTATGCCTAAGATTTATATACGTTTTAGGGACATAGAAGTACAAGATTTGGGGGCTAACTGATCACCATACTTCAATTTGGCTCCGTAAGTTGAGACTGTGCAGTAATGGCAGACTTTAATAGAGAGCAAAATTTATACTGCATGTCAGGCACCTAAGCAGCATATTGTTGGCAGCACCAGAAACGTTAAATGAATGCGTGCTGGAGACATACAGTACAACAGGACAAAAATAAAATAAAAAATAACGCAAATTTAGCAGAAGGCACAAAATTAGGCCTTAGATACCCATGGACCTGGCTGTTTAGGTAGCACGTACACAGTCAGGAGGCCAAAACTAGTCAAATCACTATGGGCCGGTAAGAGTGGCAAACTGAGAAGCAGTCCAGGTGTCATTTGGAATCAGGAGCAGCAGAGAAAGGTGTTTCCTCCATGCTGAATAGGCAGGAAAGTGCAAAGCCTGACAACATACCACAGCCCCTGCATATAAAAGACCAGTTTAGCAGAAATATGGTAGATATCTTAATTGGATGGGGGGGGGGGGAGAGAAAAGAGTTCCATACGCTTAGGATACCAACAAAACAAACAAGCATATTGGGAGTAGGAATAGTTATCCTGAAGTTGCACACAATTATTTGTATGTCAATGTCCAATCCATTGTACGCAACAATATAACCAGCAATGTAAAATTGTCCCTCTGTCTCAATGAATAAAAGTTTGAGAAAGAAATTTTGACTTGCCTAGAAATTGCATATCATGTAGTCCAGCACAGGACAGAGGAAAAGCATTCATAGGCCTTGGATTAAAGATTTGTACCTGCGGGTGAATAAACACTTAACGATTTCGAACACACACCCCCTGGACACCTCCCCTATAACCTTACCTCACTTTGGGGGTCCTCGCTTTTGTAGCAAGCAATGCAGAGTAACCAAGGAATGTGTCCTGGGATGCGCCCAAGAAACTAGTGAGAAGAGTGGGTAAAAATTAGGCAAATAGAACTGTGCTAACAAGATCAACAAGTATCAGAAAATAACTCCATGGAGTGCCACTGCAAGAACCCTGCAGCCAAAAGCTACTTCTGCAGAAGATTAGAAATCCATTTGATAGAACCTTGAGAAGGTATGAAACAGAACGAGGTGGCAGCTTATACAGCAGGGCTATTAAAGCTTGGTGCTGAAATGCCCAAGAAACTTCATTTGACCTAGTGGAAAGGGTGCATAAAAGCAAAGATGATGTGCCCTTAAGATTGTAAGCTATTAGTAACCTAATCTATGTTGCAATGGTGGACTTGGAAGCAGGGTGTCTCTTGCGAGGCTCTGAGGACAGGACAAACAGCGAATCATTCGGTCTTATCAAAGTCATAGCTTTGAAGTAGACTTTAATGGTCTGTATCTAGACAATAGATAGGAAATTACTTAGGATGCTTTAGTGCAGGGAGTAAACGAGGTACGACTGTGTTCATTGAAGAGGAAAACTGATACCAAACTGATACCACCTTTGGAAGAAAAGATGGTCTTGGGTGTAAGACAACCTTGTCTGTGTGAAATATAAAAAAACAGCTCCTTACAGTTAGAGGGCTGCAAACTTAAGACAAGTCTGACGATGTAACAACCACTAAAAAGGCTACTTTGCAGGAGAGATCACAGAAGGAAATATCAAAGAAGGTTTCTACAGAGCAGAGATAATCAAACTGAAACTCCAAGAACAAATAGGGTGCTGTAATGGGGCTAAATGTAAGAAAAAGTTTTTACAAGGAAGGTTGTTGAATGAGAATGGACAAGCCGAGATCTGTTCTTACAGAGTGCTTAAGGCCAAGTTCTGATCAAGACCTGACTGTAAAAAACAGAATGCGAGGCACAGTCAATTTTGGGATTAAGTGTGTTCACACAAGGAAAATAAGCTTTCATGACACAATAGTAGATCTTCCTGGAAGTGTTTTTTCTTGTTGTTAGGAAGCTAAGGACTTCAGAATCACCTCTGTCTTTCAAAGTCTGGGCTTCAGCAGATATGCCATTAAAGCCAACGACTGAAACGGTGGAGGGTCATGATATTGCAGATTTTGCCAATTGGGAAGAGGCCAGGGATCATCTGCTAGAATTCTGAGGAAGTCTCTGCACCAGATGTTCTCTTACGTGATCCTCTTGAGCAGATAAGGCATAATTTGCACTGGGGGAAAGGTGTATAATAGTCTGAACTGAGACCTGGGAATTAGCAAGACATCTGGGGCAAAGGAGGGAAGTTTGTTGTTGAATCTGGAGATTAGGAAGTCTACATCTAGAGTTAGTCAGTTCTGACATATCAGCCTGAAAATATCTAGGTAAAGGGACCATTCACTTTAATGAAGGCGGTGGTGACTGAGGTAGACCGCTTGCCAGTTTTTCACTGCTGGGTTGTGAAATGCAGAGATAAATAGACACTGCGTTTCCATCCATGAAATGATCTGGCTTGTTTTATTCAAGACAGATTCTTAGTGCCCACTTAATGGTTGATGTAAGCAACAGCTAAAGCATTATCTGAATGCCCCCTGAATGGGTGACATCACAGAAGGGGGTTCAATATTGTAATGCCAGCAAAACTGCTCTGAGCTTCTACACATTAATTGGAAACTTGGCTTTCACCAGTGACCCATTCTCTGGACTGTTTGGGACTGAACGCTCCTCCCCAGCCTGAAAGATCTGTTTTCACTTTCCAGTGATAGGAAGGGAAGGACTCCCAGTTGTAAGGCTGAGCATGAAATCCACCAAGATACGGAGTAACTCACTTGGCTGGACAGCAGCATGGGTGGGTCGAGAGAAGGAGCACGGATGTTTCAGATCGACAGGTGATTGTGTTAGACAGTTCTTGAACAGAACTGGGCGAATGGTAAATCCTCGAAGGAAGCTACCCGTGAGCCATAGAATTCTTATAGAGAATCTCATTTTGGGATGATGCTTTGGTCTCAGTTTGGGCTCTAAGAAAAAGTATTT